TAAGAACGTTATCAGGCCACAGATTCAATAAGTTACATAAACTCTCCAACAAAAAAAATGCAAAGAAGGGCCGGCCCGGTGGCACACTGCTATAGTGCGCCACTTGGGAAGCACGGCGGCGCTCCCGCCAAGGGTTCGGATCCCACATACAGACCGGTTCCCGCTCACTGGTTGAGCGAGGCATGGGAGCAACACCAAGGGCTGCGATCCCGTTGCCGGTCCCGGTCCAGTACGGGGGCGACACTGAAGGTTGCGATCCGTTGCCGGACACGGAAAAAGACAAAAAAAAAAAAATGCAAAGAAAACACCAACACACAGCAGAGAATCACAGAATAACTGCTAAAATACAAAAACAACAACAACAAAAAAACATAAAAGCAGCCAGAGAAAAGACATACATCATTCCAATGGAATAACATAAGACCAAAACTGACTCTACAAGAGAAATGATGAAAACCACCCTACAACAGAATAACATCTTTTAAAAACTGAAACTACCAACATATACTTCTGTGCTAAGCAATAAATCCCTCAAAAATGAAGGAGAAATAAAGACATTTTCAGATGACCCAAAACTGGGAGAATTTGTCCCAGCAGACTTGTACTAAAAAGCAGAAAAAAATAATCCCAGAGGAGGCTTAGAAATTTATGAAGCTAGAAAAAGCAAAAATATGTGAATAACTCAAAATGGATATTGACTATATGTAACATATGCATTATAACACATAATGTATAAACAACAACATCATTGATGGAGTTTGGATGTGTTGTCCCCACCAAACTCACGTGGAAATCTGATCCCCAGTGTGGCAGTGTTGGAAACTGATTGAGTCATGGGACAGATCCCTCATGAATGGAATAATGCTCTCCCTGGGGGAGTGGGGAGTAATGAGTGGGTTCTTGCTCTATTAGTTCCCACGACAGCTGGTTTTTTGAAGAGACCCTCTCTCTCTCTCTCTTGCTTTCTCACCATGTGATCTGCTTGTACCTGCCAATGGCTGCCTGCCACTTTCCGCCATGAGTAGAAGCAGCCTAAGGCCTATGCCAGATGCAACTGTCCCAGAATCGTAAGCCAAATAAACCTCTTTTCCTTATAAATCACCCAGTCTCAGGTATTTCTGTTACAGAAACACAAAACAGACTAATACAATCATCTTGTTATGTGATTCAGTTTTATGTCTACTTTATAGCCTACAATACCAAAAATGATGATAATAAGGGGTATTCTAAGGGCACTTATTATGTGGGCAATGGTAAGTACTAACATGTTAGATTTCAGAAAAAAAATCAAGGATGAATATTACCACCTCTAGGAAAACTATAAAAAGAAGAGTATAAGAAAATAGCCATCAGAGAGAAAATATGAAAAAAAATTTTAAATCAAAAACTCTGAAAGAGGCAAGAAAAGGGCAAAAAAAGGAGGGGGGAAACACATGGGTCAAATAGAAAATAAATATGAAGATGGCAGAATACCAGTTACACTAAATAAAAATGGACTAAATATTTCAATTAAAAGACAAAGATTATTAGACTAGTTAAAAAACAAACAATGAAACATCAGCTGTCCAACAGATAAAGAGGTGTATTTTATAATGATACAGGAGTCAAGCCACCAAGAATATATAAAAATTCTAAGTTTGTATGCACCTAGCTCTATAAAATGACTAGAATTCATTTCAATGTATATTGAGTGACTATTGAACATTCCTCTACTTCAGGTCCTTGGAGTATTTGGGGATATATAAATTATAAAATACTTTCTCCAAGTTTAGGTATAATTCTGATCCTAGAATTTACTTTACTCTAGTAAATTTAAGTAGGTTAGAAACTCTGCTAATAACATTCTATTTTTATGTATTTAAATTTGTCTAACAAAATTGTCTTTTATTATATTGGAAAACATGGTAAAGCTTTCCTCTCCGTATATCTAACTTGATAATGTATATGAATCATTTTATTCATTCAGAGAATATATTATAAACAGGATCAGAAAGTACTGGATTCCTCACTAGGATGCAAAATGATCTGGGAGATCTCATAACATCACCTCTTTAAGTTTCTATTTCACTACCTCTAACACAACAGTAATCTCACTTAATACAACAAAGGTACTGTAAGACTTAACAGGCTAAGAGAACGATTCCTGCTCAGCACTACTAGACATAAGTAACTGTCAGATCCCTAGAATTATTTATAATTTGCTGCTTATTACCAAAGTAGTCTTACTATAACCGATATGATTTAATTAATTATTTGATTTTCATTTGGTCATACTGTTGACTAACATAGTATGATTGTTAAAAAATACCTGCATTGCTTCTACGATAACTGCTCTAGAAAAAAATCTAGTTTGACATTCTAAAACCCAACTTGTACTCACTTTTCATATATTTTCTTCCTAGTATTTTTAATCTCTTAATAAACTTTTACTATACTGCTGGTCTTTTTTCAACATTCAGTATGTGTGTAGATATATATATATATATATATTTATTTCACTAGAGTTCCTACCTTTCATTTGGAGAGGGAAATCAGTTTGTAACTTCAAATGTCTTAATCTTTCAGTTAAGTACAGTAAACCCTTGAACAACACAGGTTTGAAGAGCACAGGTCCACTTATATGCAGATTTTTTTCAATAAACATACTGGAAAATTTTTGGTTAGGCATGTTATGCCTAACCAAATAGTTATGTAGCCTACGTAACAGTAGTCTATTAGTAGGCCTACTTAACTACTTAACTACTACTTAAGTAACAACATGCCCCTCTCCTGCCAGAAGGGCTGAGGCACCCAGTGCTGCACATCTGCAGCCCAGGGGAAAGCAGCAGTGTACTTCAGTAGTAGTTAAGTAGTTAAGTTTTGAGGAAGTCAAAGCTATACATGAATTTTTGACTGTGCAAGGGGTCAGCACTCCAACCCCTGCCTTACCCAAGGGTCAACTGTATTATTCATCCTTACTTGATTATTGTAATGTCCTTAATCTGCCATCAGTCTCCCAGTAATACTGTTAAATGGTCTAAAATTTTCATAAAAATTAATAGGCCAATGAAAAATTATTCCCTCCTTCTGAGAGATTTCACTAATATCAAATGTAACATAAATTGAATGTCTATATTTTATATATACTATCTCATTCAATCTCATTATTATTTATATTTTTCAGAAGAAGAAATTACAACTCAAAGAGGTTAAACAATGTGTGAAAAGTTATAATTGTAATAAGAAAAGCCAAGTTTTGATACTACGTGTTTGTTTATAAAGTAAAGATCTTTCCACTACCAGTGGTTTGCACACTTAATGTAAAGAGATTTTCTCTCTCTCACTTTTTTTAGAAATTATAACATTAATCCTACTGAGTAATTTCATTTTAATGCTTTTCTTATTAGACTCAATTATCTGAAACATGTTACTCTGGAAAATACGTACAATCTTTTAAATGTTCTAGCTATAATACCAGTTATATCAGAAATTAATCTATAAATAAGATGAAACATTTCTAAAACTGTAGTATTAGCATGTACTATAGTCTCAGTGTGAAAATGTCAACCACCTATATTTAAAATTCTCCCTTTTGATCTCTTTTCAGTTACTGCTATCTAATTTTAATTGCTCAGGCTATATTTAATAAGCATAATCACAAGAACCCAGTAATATATACAGTCAAGTAACAACAGCAAATATCCTTTTTCAATTATTTAAAAGATCATGTATACTGAAAAGATTCCCTTATTCCAAAATTTAACTGAATGCACCTCCATGGAACTTGTTATTGTTTTTAATATAAAAGATTTAAACAGTATAAACTGGTATAAATAGGAAAGGAAAATTTCCCTTCTCCATCAGGAGTTTTATTCTTTCTTCGCTCTCTCTCTCTGTACCTTGCACTCTCACACACATGCTTACATGCTCCCCATCTTTGTTTCTCTCTCTCTCTCTCTCTCTCTCTCTCACACACACACACACACAGAGAGAGAGAGAGAGAGAGAGAGAGAGAGAGAGAGAGAGACACAAATGGTATTTTAGAAAACACAGTACAAGTCCAAATAAATGGGAAGAATAACCGTCGAAAAACTCACAAGACCAAGGTTCAAACCAGCTCTACAACTAAAACCAGCTGAATAATCACTTCCTAGCTTTGTGCCTTCAATACGTTATTTAACCTCTATTAGTCTCTGTTTCCCCATTTATAAAAATGGGGCGCGAGGGGAGGAGAATCATACCCACCTCACATGGTTGTTGTAAGCATTGAAGTGAGAATTATGGGCTGGCCAGTTAGGTCTGCTGATTAGAGCATGGTGTTATAAAACACCAAGGTCAAGGGGTTTGGGATTCCTGTACTAGCAAAATAATAATGTACAACAAAAATAATAATAATAAAATAAAGTAAGAATTAAAATGAGATGCCAATAGCACAGTGTGAACATATAGCCAAGGAACCCAAAACTCTGCTTGCTGCTATCATCACCACTACCACCATCGCCATTCTGGGAAGTCCCAACACGTACTACAATGGGGAAAGCACCACCTCCAGTGGTATATGTATGAGGATAACTTTTTACAGCACCCTGCAAATTCATCTTATCATTACTGTTAAAAGTCAGAGATGAAAAAGTCCTTTTTTCTCAAGAACTTAACTGTCCCTTTGAGAATCTTTAAAAATTAAACAAAATCTACGTTTTTATTCCTGAAAAAGAACAAGAAAGTTAATATTTTTCCCTTTGTTTTTCATAATTTTAGATTTTTTTTAACTAAGACACAAATATTGAAAGGTCTAATATTTTGCTTTCTAATGAAAGCCACTCAATATTAATAAATAATCATAAATGGATTTGGTTAAAAGGGAATGTCAGATGAGAGTCTACTTTCTCAATCCCAATATATTTAAAAATTCACCAATTTGGGGGGGTTTTTGTTTTCAATCTTCTGCACTTAAAGGAACTACATGTTAACAACTGTACACTACAGCTGCTCTCACGTTAGTAGATATAAACATTTCTTACCAAATTACGCTTTTTTAGTGGAAGAAAATAATAATAGTGGCAGAAAGAAAACATCAGTGCGTAGCAAGTAAGAAGTTCAGTGTAGAAACACAACTGTAGAAAAAGCCAATGATTATCTTCACCAACACAATTGTTAATCCTGAAGAAAAGAAATAAAAAAAAAAACACAATGTTTTAAACTTTAATAAGATGTTCATTTCAGGATCAGTAAGACTAAAAATAAACTCTAATAACTTCATATATGCTTAACTTCATGGAGATATGCTACAGCCACTCAAACCTAAAAGTAAACTGTATGAAGTTATAAATATACCTTCTTACATTTGTAAAGCAGGTTCCACTTTACAAAGGGAGTCCATGTGTATGATCACCCTTCAACTCCCAACAACCCAATGAGGCAGGAAGAGCAGACAGGAGTCTCCTTGTTTCACTGATACGCAAACAGGAACAATGAAGTTAAGCCACTGGCCAGAGGATGCACAGTTAGATGAGACAGAGGCCAAGAGAACAAGAACCTTCTTCTATGTATTGTTCTTTCATTACAGCATTCTAGCTGTGGAGAGCAATAGTTAAAACTTGCCACTAACATAACTGCTAAGTATTCGCAATTTTTCTTACTTTAAAAATCTAGCCCTGGTTGCTGAAAATAAAATCTATTCAAAACTATTTTCAAATATTCAGAGCTACACTTCCATCAATACAACAGTAAGCCTTAACTAGGAAAAAGATTAACGTTATAATCCCAAAATTTCCCAGGCTAATTTAAGCCAAATATTTTATTGTTCCAAATTTATTCATAGTACCCAAATTTTCAAAGTATTTTAGAATTCTAGCAGAAAACCCAAGTTCAAAACTACAAATTGCCTTGCACTAATCTTTTATTTCAAAAGAGCATTATACTGGCACTGAAAAAAAAATAATTAGAACAGGTTCCATTCCTAACTTTTTTGTTATTTGCAAGCAGGACTATAAGAGAAGTGTGCTTATGTATGCACTCAAAAATGTTCTTTAACTGCTCTTATTTGAAAGATGACTTATGCTTGTCCTATCCTTCCTGTCCCCAAGAAATCTGAAAAACTGCTATGATCACAGCATTCTTCTTAACCAGAGAGCTTTAAGAAGCACTGAGGTACTCAACCTATATATAAGGGTTCTTTTTGTAACATTTAAACTACTACATAGAATGATCAAAGCCAGAAATATAGAAAACCTTGAGGCAACTGGAGAATTGACCTCCAAATTAAAAGCTGTTAGGCAGTTAAGATAATGCAGTTTTTTTGTGCAGTATAAGCATGTATTGAAACAACACACTGTACCCCACAAAAATAAATATAAATAAAATTGAGAAATGAAATGAAAAAGAAAAAAATAAGATAATGCAATTTTTGAAAACATCAAAAATTCTCCTTGCTTCCAATTTACACTGTATATTTCTCTCACTCTCTGAACATCTCATCGGTACACTATTAGGGAATTCAATCAGGAAAATTCCTAAATCTATATAGGTCCCTGGTCTACTCTTCTTTCTGATCCTCCAATCTTTTCCCCTTTCCCTCCTACCAATATTCTGAGAAGTTGACTAATACTGTGGAAGCAAGAGGCCTAGAAACAGAGAAATCACCCCAATGTTAGAATTTAGGTTAAATAGCATTTTATTTGGTCACCAATAAGTTAGTATTTATCCCTTAAAAATAAACAAGTATTATTAATCTCTACAAAAACATTTCCTAGTTGATTGGTTAGAATTTAGGTTAAATAGCATTTTATTTGGTCACCAATAAGTTAGTATTTATCCCTTAACAATAAACAAGTATTATTAATCTCTACAAAAACATTTCCTAGTTGATTGGGTTTTTTTAAAATCTTAAACTATTAATTCTTTTGAAAGGAAGAATCAATATCCAATTGTACCATGAACATTTACACTTTTAGTTAATCAGAACCACTACTATTAAGTTTTTCAGGATAATTATCACTTATCTGAATATCTGTTTCACCTAATTTTCACTCTCTTACTATTGTGACTACAAACAGATCACCGAGGTTTACAAAACTACTCGGGAATTAATCTGTTTACATTTGAGGCACATTTTTTGGACCCCAACTATATGTCATACACTAGATTATCTTGTTGATGGACTTAAACTATTTTTAAAATTTTTACATAGTAAAAAAGTGTTTTCACCTGAATGTCCTTTTTTCCCTTAATCTCAAGAAATTGCTTTCTATTTAAATAATCAGTTTATAGTTAAAACCAAATTTCTACTAAAAGTTTGCTAATTAGCTGTTCTATCAAAATAAGTTATCAAAAATAAGGGAAACTCTACACTGATGAGCATTACTAAGCAAAGCTAAATTCTACTCACGAGTCAACTTTAGATAAATGCAGTTATAAACTTAAGAAGACTGTTACATAGTTAACTTTGTATATATGCTTGCACGTGTATACAGACATAAATATATCTGTTCACAGATATATTTATAAAGTGCTACACTATACCAGTTTAAATATTTATACAGAGATCCATACAGGAAAACAGAATTAAATACAATATCTTGTTCACAGATTTTTGTGACAGCTTTGAAATGAGACACAATACAGAATTCTCATAGCATTTGTTTCCAAAAACGCTATTTCTCAACTGAACATGTTCTTTAAATATTACAAGAGAGCCCCCTATTGACCAAAAATGTTGGCAGTTCAACAGAATCAGCTAGTTACCACTTATACATACCCAACATGTATGCAATGTTAATTCCTATATCCAATACATAATACTTAAAAAGGATTGAGGGTAAGAAGGGTAAGGTTATCAGAGTATCTGAAATGTGTTATACTTTAATTAAACAAATGGAAAGAGGAATACAATGGGATGTGCATGTTTTATTACAGCTAGAAATAACAGCTACAACTGTACAATACTGTACTTCCTATGTGTCAGATACTATATTAAATGCTTTACATACATTGCCAATTTAGTATAAGCCTCTTAGTCCTACTGCATAATGGAGTGCATGTTAATTCTTAGTTCCCTGCTCAAATATTTCCCTGTTAGAAAAGATAAAATCTCTGGAAAAATGACTTTGGGAGTTGACAGAACTACAGGATCAAATAAAGATAACCTTAATAAAAGATTTTTTTTAATGGTATAACTTTTGTTTAAACTTGCTAAGTTCTAAGATTTATTTTTTACTGCCTTTTTCTTTTTTTTTTCCTAAAGTGAATTATTCTTTTCTTACCAAGGACAGTGATGATCCATTCTCCTCACACAGTGGCCACAGCGGCTGCAGTGATGGGAACGTTTTGGTCTCATCAAATTACATTTGTTACATAATTCCCAAAACTCCCTTTCTAGAGAAGAAAATGAAAATCCATTTAATGAAGGCAAATGAGTAACGGTGAAATTTAGCAACAATTGTTTAGAAGATCTTATAGGAACTCTTCAGTATATATCCCTAAGAGATTTTTCTTCTTCTAAGCCTCCAGTGTAAACATGTTTGCCATAAATGTTGCTGTGCTAGTCTATGTATGAGTATGTCTTATTTAGCATGTTTCTAATTTTAAACACTATAAAAATAAGACACCATTTTTGTAGTCAAAGTCAAGAATAGAAAACAATGTATTTGGGTTTTGGACATATTGCTAGAATATACATAAAATCCAACCAAATTACTGTAGTATAATGAAATTTCATTTAAACAAAATTTCTGAAAATTTTATTATCTAAAGGCTCTAAAGAAGAAATAATGCTGAGTCCTGATTTCAATAGATTAATAAAATAAAATCAATCCTATAACTAAATAAAAAAACAGAAATGGTGCACACACACACACACCCCTTCTTTTCCTAAACCATTTTTTTTCCTTAATATCAATGAATTCGTTCAAGAATGTGTATGGAAGCAGGTTGGAGGAGGTCAGATGGATTTAGGAGGTATCAGAATTGTTTCAATAGTGAGGAAGGTTACAAGAAGATTACTATTTGAAGGGAATAAAAGAGTTCTTTACAAAATCCTGTCTGCCACCAAGTAGCAATTCCCTCTAGCCTGTAGTGAAAGAGTACACAATTAAATTCTGTGTTAAAAACATAAAGTTTACATAAGTAAAGAGTAAAGGCATTTGTTTTCCTTATAAATTGTTCTAATCAGATCCATGAAAACTATGGGAGAGTCATCTTCTAAGACAAGACAAATGCTTTATTACACAAAATGTATCTTTTTAATATTTGTTGAAATGCAATTTTGCTTTTACAAAATTCTTAAATTTTTCATCATTTATGTTTCAACTACCCCATAACCTCATTAAAAGTATGGGCATAGTGAAATAAACCTAACCCACATACTCAAAGTGAATATTAGTATATGCAGAGTGTGACCCTAGCATACAGCAAATGGTTGAAGTACGAAAAGTTTAAAATAAAATATATTCTAAATAAAAGAAGATAATAGTAGGTAATGTTCAATTTTCTAAAAAGATTCTCTATTTGAATTCCATTATTTTTGTTTAATGGCCAGGAATAACATCAACATATGGGAATTTTATACGGTAAAGTGCTGGGGAAACATTCTGCTATAGATGTCACTGAAGAAACCAATAAACTATGAATAAAACCTATATCAAATTAATTGTCTGTTCCAATAATGTAAAGTTGAGAAATTGTCTTTTACACTTCAAAAGAAATTTCAAAGAAAATCTTCTCTCACGTCATACGGTTCTTATTTAATGAAAACATACCATATGAGACAGCAACAATGTTAATACTTAATTTAGATACAGTTAAACCAGTATTATTTACCTGTAAGTGAAATGGAAACTCATTTAATATGTAGCATATTATGGGCTCCCAGTAAATATAGCAGAATAGATGGTCCCCAGCATTACTCTCTCCCACAAATCAACCCATCTACAACGACTAAAAAGCAACAACAGCCAAGCTGGGGCCACTAGAGCTCTGGGGAAGAGGAGAGACCTATGGAGTTCATGAAGGAAGGAGAAGCCACGATGAGAGAAAGCAAGGATCACTCATACCATTTCAAGCCCTGGCTGCTTCCAGGCTGGAGCTGCTGAGAGCATGGAGCAGGAGCCGGCAAAAGCCACAGCTATGCCCTTCGGATGAAGTTGCTTGGAGGCAGCAGGGGAGAAGAGGGCATTGGTGGCCCCCAGGACAGCAAGACTACTAACAAGGTTACCGTGGACCCACAAAGGAGCAAGGAGCCACTAAGAGGCCTGTGAGTATTCACAAGGGACCGGCACATGGCCTGTCCCATGGGAAGTGTTTGGAGTGCAGGGGGTGGGGGAGACGGGCCCACCAGGGCAACACTGGGGTACGGCATGGACAGCTGATCTGCCCCCCAATTAGCACAGGACCACTCAGTGGAGACTGGTCCAGAATATGGAACTGCAGGGGGTACAGTTTGCTGAAAAAACTCAGGACCAGACCAGAGTTTCCACAACAACCCAAGTATATTGGAACTCACAAGACCAGGAAGTACATACAAGGTAACCATTAAAACCTGAGCAGCACAAAAACCCTTCCCCAGGGAATCAGCAGCAGTGAAGCAATTTAGCTCAACTAGAGGGCTCAAGTGCTGGTCCCCACAGAAAGTTCCTCCATTTTAGAAGTAACCAAAGGACAACAAATTAGTTCCAGTGCAGAGTTTAAGTGGTGGGAACAGCAAATAATCCAACACAGAACTGAAAGAAAAAACAGAATACCCACAGATCAGAGAAAAAGTTTGATATTAACTAGTAAAGGTCTAACACTACCAAAGAACACCTATAAAACCTAGAATGACCGCAAGCCCCCTGGGCTCCCAAGCCAGAGAGGGGGGATGGCTGTGGGCCTCGGCAATGCTCCCCGCAATACCTGCAACCAACTCAGTGATGACCACCAAGCCGCCATAGGAACTGCCGCGGGCTCCTAAGCCATGGTAGTGGGGGGCAGAGGGCCTCAGCCTCGCCCCCCCAAAGTCTGCACCAAGCCCAGCGATGACCACCAAGCCACCTCAGGAAACGTCCCAGTTTCTCCCAGCCTGGGAGACTGTTCAGCCACACCCCCTGACATCTGCATCCAACCCAGCAACAACGGAGCCTCCACTGGAAGCCCCCTGGTCTCCCCTGCCAGAAATGATGGGGGTGCCATGGGACTTGACCACAACCCCATACTTCCTCCTCCACCCACCATATATCCCTCCCCCTTCTCCTCTTCCCCCTCCCTCCCAACTGCTCCGCAACACCTTAGAATGTAATAATGTAATAATATTAATAAATAAATTTTTAAAAATATATGTGGTATATTACAATGTCACAAGCATATTTTTTCCCCACTTAGCTCAATGCTCCCAAACATCCCAACGTTAAAACTTTGAATTTGCACATTTCAAGGAATGCAGACAGTAAGGAGACTATCCACAAGGAGCCAATTTTCATTAAAAAGCAACATTAACACTTTGTTTGTAAATCCATTCCTTAAAACATAAAGATAGTTATTGATAATTTCTGGGAGATCATGCAGTGGATTGAATTATGTCCCCCCCAAAACTCACTGAAGCTTGCATTGTGTCCCTCAAGTTTTATGTATTAGAAACTTGGTCCTCACTGTGACTGTTAGGAGGGTGGGAAATCCTATTATGGTAATTGAAAGGTGGAGACTTGGGGTGATTAGATTGCAGGACCATGTAATAGTGAATGGATTAAAAGTGGTGGTCAGGGGCATGGTTGCGAGCACTTTAAAAGAAGACAGAAGAGAGTCTGTCTTTCTCTCTTGTGCTCTCTGCTGCACCATTTTTGCAGTGTGATACTCTGCCATCACTGTTGGCACCACCAATACCTTCACCAGATGTGTTCCCTGGATTCTGGACTTCCTAGTCTCTGAAACCATAAGCAATAAATTTTGTTTTCTTTACAAAATGCCCAGTTCTGTGTATTTTGTTATAAGCAACAGAAACGGACTAATACAGATCAGCATGTAATATTCCAGAGAACAAATTCTTTACTTCATACCTAAAATGTTTTATCCTCAGAAAAGAAGAGAGCATTTGGTTACAGTCAGAAAAAGCCTAAAATCAGGTAATCTAGATCATGGATTGGCAAACTACAGTCTGCAGGCAAATCCAGTCCACCATCTGTTTTTGTATGACTCGTGAAGTAAAAATGATCGTTACAATTTTAATTGAAAAAAATAAATATAATAACTTGCGACATGTAAAAACCATATGAAATTCAAATTTCAGTGTCCATAAACAACGCTTTCTTTTCTATGCCCATTTATTTACGTACTATGGCTGCTTTTGTGCTACAATGGCTGAGCTAACGAATTGTGACAGAGACCATGTGGCCCATAATGATAAAAATACTATCAGCCTTTACATAAAGAATAGTTTGCCCATCTCTGGTCTGGACCATAAATTTTTTAGAGAAAGAGCTTGAACCATTCCTTTGGCTAAATCAAAAACATTACATAAGTATCTAAAATAAGAAATATATGATAAAAATACTATCAGCCTTTACATAAAGAATAGTTTGCCCATCTCTGGTCTGGACCATGAATTTTTTAGAGAAAGAGCTTGAACCATTCCTTTGGCTAAATCAAAAACATTACATAAGTATCTAAAATAAGAAATACCTACAAAAATGCAGTTTCACACACATGCACAAGCACACACACCCTTATGTGTTTAAAGAACAAATAAAAAAATTACTATGGTAAAAATCTAGAAATTTAATTAAAATATTACCTAAAATATGTTTCTGCCTTGTGCAGCAAGGAAAAAAATCCATCCATCTTAACCTACCCTATACATCTACAAAGCATTTCTCAGTCTTATCCCTTTCCTTCTTCAGTGTTTACTCATGTCCAATAGGATCTTGGTGACTGATACATTCTGATGTCTAATGATTACCTACAAAATTTTGTATTAGCCATCTAATAACATAAAATAAAAGCCTATGGGAGAGAGAATCCAATTGATAATTAATGGCAGCTACAGGAAAATTAAAAGCTAACATGGGCACATTTTTTTAATGGAGAGAAAAATCAAAACATAAAACAAATCAAAGAAATAAAGGCACACTCCATAAATGATTGAGGCTATTTAATGTGAGTAAATAGCATCACATTGTTTAACCTGGATTTATTAATGCTGTAAATGCTTGAATTAATATAAAGCAATATTTGGTTTTGGGTTTTTTTGTCTCTCAGAAAAGAAGAAATCACCTTCTATTTGAGTCTTTTAAAAGACTCACATTTTAATGGCCCCTCTCTCAATTACTATATTTTAATTCATAATGTAATGTTTTGAAGAGAAAAATATTACTTGAAACTACCAAAATTAATATAAGACTTGAGTCCTAATAGAAGTTCCCTGACAGAATCAGTTGTCAATGTAGGAAGTAAATGTCAATAAGTCTCTTTACAGATCACCTTTAAAAAGCAATGTAAGAGGGAGGGAGGAAAAAAATAACTGAGTAAATACATGGCCCTGATCATTAAGAACACATGAATCCTTTTCGCTTTGGGTAAAATTTCAAGGGATAACACCAAAACATGCTATTTTTTTTTTTAATTTAGAAGGAAGATTTTGTTCTGTAACACCATGTCAAAAAGTGGCTATAGTGATGACAAAAACACTGAAGTCTAACATGAAAGGGAAGAGCCTGACAATGAAAATGTTCTAAAGATTGTGGTATGGTTACACAACTCTGTGAATATACTGAACACCACCAAACTGTACATTTTAAATGGGTGAATGATATGCCATATAAATTATACTCAATAAATTAGTTTTTAAAAAAGTTAACAGCTTGAATAAAATCATTTCATAAAATGTGAAAGTGCCAAAAAGTAATATTTCTAAGTGACTTTTATTTTATATTTATTTCAAATACGTATATGAATAATTCAAATAATATAAATAGACATGTAATAATTTCATTTGACTAGTTCACCTAACACCCAAAAGCTTATACAATCACACTCTGGGGATCCTCTCATAGGAAAATGGTACATTCCCTTATATTCACATTGCTTCGTGTGTAGTGGGGCACATATATACTAACATTACTCTGTTTAAAAAAAAAGAAAGGCATGTAAAATATTTCAGAGTAACGCAATAAAAAGTACGTAAAATCATGAAAGTATTAGGGCTTTAGGTTTCCTTTTCAGAAGAATTCCATTATATGAAATTGCCCAACCTTCAAACATTCCTGAATAAATGTCACTATTTTATAGGTTCAACTCTTTAGTTACGCTATATTATTTTTCACTATTAAAATTCTGTATTTAAAAAAAAAATTCTGTATTTTTTTTTTTACTAAGTTAAAACCACATTTACAAAAGAATCAGGTAACCAGCACCAAAAAGTACATGATGACTTCAATCTTCCCCCAAATCATAGCAAAGGTGAATAAAGAGCTAAAATTATTCATCTGTATGTAGATCCATGGTAGAAATATGATAGAGACAAGGACCTGGGTCTCACACCAGCTCTACAACAACCAGCTGTGTAATCTAGGAGAGACAATCTATGCTCCTGACTACTCAGCCTACCTACCTCATACAATTACCATAACCATCATGATATGAGACAACAAAAGGCTTTGGAAACATTAAAATATGATAAATAAATGTATTTTTTTCCAATTGGATAAAAGGAAAATATCCTGAACACAGTGAAGAAAACTGGGCCAAATGTCAACTGAGACAAGATATAATACAGATATCCAAAAAGTCATCGAGAAGCTAAAGGTAATACAGTGGTTACCTATAGACTCAATTAGATACACAGATATAATTTGTTTGGTATCCACAATGTTTTTTAAATTTTGAATTAGTTGTAACATTTTTTAAAAATCATGAAATTTCTCATAAAAATTGGAATTCCTTGTTTTTTCTTTAAAAATTTTAAGACCAAGGGCCGGCCCGGTGGCGCACTGCTACAGTGCGCCGCTTGGGAAGTGCGGCGGCGCTCCCGCCG